GTATTGTAGAGAAAGCTTAACTTATCTCAACACCAGGCAGACTGGAGAGTAACCTTGGTTTTAGATAAGGCAGCTGTACCAGTGAGTCATTGGGTTCCCTGAGACAGATAAAGAGTAAGGTCTTCCTGAGCTAGCCAGGCAAGCATGGGGAGAGGGGGGGAGTGTATACGTGGCTCAGCCGAACATAAAGTGTGGAAACTGGACAACTAATAAACTTGAGCACAAAGGGCTTGAGCTGTCTTCAACCCCCGTGTTCCTGGTGGCATTTCTTCCCAGCTCCCTGATGGTGAGCATGTAGGGACTGGTAATGGGAAGCGTGTTTGTATTGATTCAACTGTATTGCAATTTTATTGCATAGTATTGCAATTGCTATGGATGCTTGTGTTGTGATTTCAGTATATCACTGTATTGCTCTACTTAATCAAAATCCCCCATAATGCCTGTGGTGGGTTGACCTGGGCTGGCTGCCAGACCCTCATCCAGCTGCGTTCCTGCTCCCCCTCCTCCACCAGAGAGGGGAAAAAAATACGCTGAAAAAGCGTAGGGGTTGAGATAAAGACAGAGAGATCACTTGCTAATTACAGTCATAGGTGAAACAGACTCCACTTGAGGAAAAATTATTTAATTTATTGCCTGTTGAAATAGAGTTGGATGGTGGGAAGCAAAGTAAAAAATTAAAACGACCTTCCCCCAACCCCCCCTTTATCACAGGCTCGACTTCACTCCCTTGTTCCTGACTCCTCTCTCTCCCACTCCCTTGAGCTGCCCAGAGGGATGGGGAGTGGGGGTTGAGATCAGTCTGTAGCAGCTCTTCTCTGCTGCTCCTTCCTCCACACAAGCCTCCCCTCTGCAGCATGGGGCCTCTCCCCAAGCTGCAGTTCCTGCGGGGCGCATCCACCCTCGGGTCCCCCACGGCTGCAGTGTGGATACCTGCTCCAGCCGGCTCCTCTCCAGGGGCTGCCGGGGAATCTGCTCTGTGCCTGGAGCACCTCCTCCCCTCCTCCTTCTTACCTTGGTGCTTGAAGGGCTGTTTCTCACACTTTTCTTCCTTACTCCTCACAGCCGTGCAGTATGTTTTGTCCTTTCTTACCCATGCTTTCCTGAGCCCTGCTTACCCATGCCACTGTCTTGCCTGAGGGGCCCAGCTGTGCCCTGCGTTGGGTTCGTTGGAGCCAACTGGGACTGGGACGGTTCTGGTCTGTCCTCACAGAGGCCATCCCTGCAAGCCCAGGTCCCTACCCCCCTGCCCAACCTTGCCATGTAAACCCAATACAATGCCAAATAAGTAAGTTTGATATTAAAACTTAAGCCCTCCTCATGTGGAATATCTAAAAGCACCTGCTCAGAGAGCGTTGGATGCTGAAAGGGGATTCTTCCTTCCCACTGCCGCAGCGTAGCTGGGTGCAGTCTGAGACCCCGGAGGTGCCCGTGTCACAGTGCCATGGATGTGGCTTTCGTTTCCCTCGGCAGTTTTGACCTGTAGTGAGGCTGCGTGTGTGTCCCAAAGAGGTGTGTGTACACACGCACACGACAACTCAGCTGGCCACCCAGACTACCCCAGGCAGAGCAGCTCCCGCGTGCAGCCCTACTTGAACTCATGTAAAACCCGTGTATAGGTAGCAGAGTCCTGTGCCGCCTCCTTGGCTGGTCAGGGTTGAAGGTCACCTGTGAACATATGCATGCCCTTGCTGTCTGTGTTGACAAGCACACCCATGTTCATGGGTACCTCGAATGTCAGCGCAGGCTCTCAGTTTGCCCCATACCCGTGCCTGGACTCTGGGCCCCTTAGCCAGGCTGGCTCACTGGCTCACACCTTGAGTCTTTTATACTGAAGAGTCCTTAAACAGATAACTTAATGAACCGGGTGCTCTTTCATTCCACGTACAGTTACCTTTTTTTTTTTCCCTTGGATCATAAAATGAATCATGAAAGTATTACAGGCCATGTAGAAGTTATTCATAGATGATCTGAACATGTTATACTTGTTTCAGATTTTCAGATGCACTCGATCAGTTCATGAAATCACAAACAATGGTTAATCGCAAGATTGTACCTGGAGTATTAACTTGGCCCATATCATCTCGGGTCATTGAAGAGACACGAATAGAGAATTTACAGGTATGTTACCCAAAAAAAAAAAAAAAAAAAAAGACATAAAACCCCTGTTCTATCAAATGGCCTCTCTAAAAAATAAAAAGGTTGTCATCTGCCTGCCTCCCCATTGCCAAGGCCAAAGAAAGATGAAGGGCAAAATGGAGGTTTTGGCCTGAAGTAGCCAGTGCAGGTCCTGCTGCGTATTGTCTAGAGTGTTGTCAGCACCAAGGCCTGGTCTTTGTAAAGCAGAACTACTCTTAGTACAACAAATTTGGACATGTGGGAAGCACCATGTTTGCAGGACAAGGGCAGGGGCTCTGTGTCAGGCTCTATGCTTGGGCATTTCTATGTAATAATATGGTTTTAATTTGCTCTAATCTGCTGTTGCCGTACACAGTAACGTGTAAGTTGTATGTTACCAAACCTCAAGTAGATGTGAATGCTATACACAACGTAATGCTAGGGGGAACCGGTTAAACATCTGAACTAGCAAAACTGTGAAGTTGAAAATTGTAGCAATGGTGCTATATTTAAAACCAAATAGGGAAGTTTGGTCATGTAGTTCTTGGTTGATGCAGTGGGACTTGTATGATAAAATTCCCTGTTTGACTGGAAAAATCTAACTTGTGGTTCTGACACTGCAAATTGCTTTCTCACACTAAACAGCTTTTTACAATTACTACAATTGTTATTGTTTTTAAACTATAATTGAGTCCCTGTTATTTGTGAAGTATTTCTGGATAAACCATGCTGTGACAGGCAAGATGTGTGAGCTCCTCTGCACAGAGGCAGTGTGACGCAGCAGAACTTGCTAGGTTATTCAGTGTATGAACTTGGGTGTACTATACTGACCTGTTTCATTTCTAGTAGAAGCAGCAGTACTGTTGTTTCCTACTCAAAAACTGACCTCAAGATTTCTTGTAGACCCCCAGCTGACGCCACGGTAGTCTGGCCACAGTAATACCTCAGTGGTCTGGGATTTCTGGAGAGTGTAATGCAAATATCTGAAAGGCTGTAACTGGTGGTCTGCGTGTTTCTAATAATGTTTTATTAATCTGGGCTCAATGCCAAACCTGTGGGTTCTGAACTGACTTTACAGAAAGCCACGGTAATGTCCTTACCTCAGACGCTGTTCTGGGAGATCCCACTAGCTCCAGTGCAGGGCTGGGTCTGAGCTGTCCCTGGGAATGTGCTTGATTGCGTAACCCAGATCCCAGGTGACACAGTGCTGAAATGCTGGGAAATGGCGGAAACAAAGAGATGCTCCGTTTTTGTCACATTATCTGAGTAATCTGGCTTATCATTTTGGCAATGGAAAACGCAGTGTATTCTCATGCATTTGGAATTGGTCAGAGTGTAAAGCATTGGTCCAAGATAAACCTGCATGCAGGGAAGCTATGAGTGCTTAGGTGATAGCAGTTCAACCACACTTTTGAATGTTTTGCCTTGAAAGGATAATCTTCCATAGCTTTCACTAGGAAAGTGTTGTTCTTTTGGTATTAGTTGTCTGCTGTTCAAAAAAGAGATGTGTGTTTTACTGCAGAGTTCCCTAGAAGTTTGTAAGTAGATACTGAATCTTTTCCTGGTTTCTCTGAAGTTTGTCTTACATCATTTTGTGTTTCTCAGTTGATGTTAAAGAATTGTATTGAGGAATGCAAGTTCCCTCCAGAACCAGATGCAATTTGTCGGTATCAGCAATGCCATGGCCACTCCAAAATACAAATATTTTTTACAGACCCAGACTTTAAGGTAAATTTTTAGTTTAAAAGGGTTTGGGAAATACAACTTCATGTTTACGTGTTTTCTGCCCTCTTTCATATTAAAGAGCTATCTGGAACATACCATCTTATCCTATCTACTGTTAAGTTGTGCACTGGTTTTCTGGGGTTTTTTAAAGATGTTAAATTCATCCTGTTTCTCAATATTAGGGTTTTATACGTATTACTTGCTGTCAGCAGTGTAGAGTGGAGTTTCATATCAGCTGTTGGAAAAAGCTGAAAACCACAAACTACAGTGATAAAAATGATAAGGTAAGAGCTGTGTCAGACTATAAGCATTTTATTTTTTCTTTAGTCAAGATTATAGCATTCCTTTGGTTCGTGGTAAGTGCAGTGGTGCAGCCTGATGTTCCACCTGCATGGCAATGTCAGGAGGAGAGACAGGGAAGAGGAGTCACTTGCTAAATTGTCTGACGTACAAGTAAAGCAAGTGGGTAAAGCTTGCTGTTGTCTACAGAAGAAAGGCCTGTCTGTGTGAAGGCTTGATGTGCTTTGCCTGTTTATCTTGCATCGTTTATAGGCTCCCATATGGAAGTTTTATTCCTTCTGTAGTCTTGCTATTGAAGCAATGGTTCCACATTGAGTGTGTCTAAAGGGATTTTACAAAATGCAGTATCAGCAGCCAGTATAAAATGAAGGGAAATCCGGGCAGACTGTGAACTCATAAAAGAATATTCTTAAAGTTGAGTCTTGAATGTGAAGTTGGAGGAAAAGGGGCTTTGCTGTAGCTTTGGGACTAGCAGGTATATGCCACAAATCTAGGATTTTTCTGGTTTGCAGTCCTCGCCAAGTCAGCTCTCACTTGCTTTCCTCATCCACTAAGAGTTTAGGACTGTGTTAGCTTTAATTACCTTGGGTCACCTCGAGTTAAGAAACTGTAATCTGTATAAGAACAAAGTTTTTTGTATGAATTTAGATGTCTTTGTGTGTGTCATTTTCTCCTACAGGATTTTCTTCAAGAATTGTGTTTCACTCCTGATTGTACAGGCCTTATTTCGAAAATAGTTATTTTCAGTTCTTCTGGTCTGGTTAAATGTGAAGTAAGTATAAATAATCTTTAAAATATTTACTCTGATAAAGGAGATAAAGTGAAGATAAGAATGTAACTGCAAACTCATAAGTAATATGCTGTCTTAACTACAGAATCTAGGCATTATTTAGGAATTTTAATTCTCTTCTTACCTGTTCTTCTTGGGGAGCAGGCGTTACCTTATGGTATTGGTTAGAATTCATGGATGGGAACTGGAGCTTTGTTTTATATTTAGCTTGTGTAACACGAAAGGAACCTAGTTTAACTCAGAGCTAACCTCGCTAAATGAAATAATGCTATTGGAAGAGTGCTCTACAGAGTCACAGGGAGATGGATGCTTCTTCCCAGAGCAGTATTGGTCTGTGAGAAGCAAAAAAAAAAAAAAGTGGAGTTTGCTTCCTGCCCACTGGTAAAGCAAACAAGCCGCCAGTTCTTCCTGACTCTTGTGTTATCGCTCAACCTATCTTTACTGCGGATAAAGATGTATTGCTATGTACCAAGTTGTAGCAGTAAAAGATAATTTTAGGTAGGCCTTCATGAGGCTTATGTAGGCTGCATTATCTCTTTGGTAGTGTTACTTCTGATGTTTTGGAAGCAGTAAATGTACCTGGGTTTTGATAACAGCAATGTTTCACTGTAACTGAAATTTAATTAATATGATGTCACTTACTTTGGTAGTTTGAACAAAAAATCGCAAAACCCAAGGAACCACCAAGGGCCAGTATTAAACAGAAATGTTCAAGGTAAGCTCTCTGCCGTTTAAAACTAGGTTGAGTCAATTTGAGAACAAACTAGTTTTTTCTTGTATGGGTTTTCGTACCTTCTCAAGAACTGCTAAAATACCATAAATACTTTGGAAAGCTATTCTTGCCCTTTGCCTCTGATAAACTAAAAAGTCTGGTAACGTATGTTATGATTCGATTATGAAAGCATTTAAATTAAGTTGTAAGACAAGATGGAGAGCTACAGATTTATAAACTCAGCACAGGAGGGCATTAACTGGTATTGCTGAATAAATTATTGGTAGCTCTCTAGTGGTCGAATTGTTCTTCAAAAACAGCATTTACGGGAAACTGTTTTCAAATATACAGCGTATGAGTTGATGTGAATCTGATTTTCCACACCTCTATATTGAGGGATAAATTGTCCATTGCAGCATTGACTTCCTGGCAATTGGAATCACTAGTTTTGAACAGAAATTGCTGCAATCATCTTTAAGTTGAAAAACCTAATTTCATTGTGAAATCTGTGGGCAGGGAAGTAACATGTTTTGGGGAAAGTGTGATTTGGAGGCTGTGTGTAGGACTTGAGGATTGTTTCTTTACTTTTGCTCTGCATACATGTCTTTTGTTTGTGCTAAGGGACTTAACAATTGGAATGCTAAAAGAATGAGTGTCTGATATTCTTAATGAGTTGAGTGTACGTGCAGTGAAAGTCGAGTGTACCTAGATTAGAATACCAGCTCTGTTTTCAGTCTGAGATTGCAAGCATTGTTCTGTTCCTTCCCTTTGCTAGGGGAAAGAAAGTCAGCAAGATTTTTAGCTGGATGGGAGAGGTATCGCTGTGAGGCATAAGTTCAAGACCACTGTTCCACAGCATTTACTGTCTAACTGACTTTGTGTGAATGTTTAGACAGAGAAAATAAAAGCAGCATATAATGATGCTACTTCAGTTGGTGATGCCCGTACCTTTGACACCTGAGTTTATGCTTTTTGGTCAAGTAGGGTTATAAATAATGAGGAGTCATGCTGAGAGGATAAAATTATTTTTAATAGTTAAGGAAATCTGAATGTTAATATCATGTTCAAAATGCTGAGTTATAAATTAAGAAAAAAACCCTGATAGTATTTCAGTTAATCCTAATTCAAACATCAGTAATGGGAGCAAAGATTATTGCCTCTTGAGGATATTCTTATACTTTCATACTTGATTTTTATGAAAATTTATGAAATTTGTGGTCTCTTAACTTCCAAATGAAAACTGGCTTTATTATATTCATACTTGTACTACTATTTTATGGTAGAATGGGAGCTTATAGCTATTCTGAGACATGGAAAGTAACTCAGATGTGCCCGTCTCCTTTGGCAATTTAGCTGGCATTAGGCTCACCGCTTCATTGCTTTTCTTCAGTCTTAGGAAGTTAAAAATGAAACAAGAAAAAAAAATACGAAGAAAACGTGCACGAGAAGAGGCACGGAACTCTGCTAAAAAGGAAGTAGAAGAAAACCAGATGGGGAATGAACCATCTCAGTACAGTGATCGCAGTGGTATGTGGAAGTAGAGGTTATTGTTCTAAGTTATCACGAGGTGGCATAAATAGCATTCTGAATGTCCTAAGTGAAACTATAGAATACTAATATTGAACATAATCCCCCCCTTAAAGACTCGCAGTTTTACTTAAGATTACTTTTATTTCAGTTCTGGTTTTAACTAAATAACTGTAAAATGTTAGTGGATGGTTGAGTTCCTTGTAGAAAACTTTTATTGTTGCTTCATTGGTTCATGAAGAAGCAGCCTGAAGAGGGCAAAGGCTCAAACTCCAGGTGAATCTGTTCAAAAGTGGTTTGAGAAAAAGCTTTACACTCAACAAGTTAGGACACTGCTACAGAAGAAAAATAACTGCAGCTCGCATAAAGAACGAACGATATCCTAACTGCAGAAATGGCAGTGACTTGAAATATGGATTTCGGAGGATTGGTGAAAATAAAATACTTGAACCCGTAAGTATGTAGTTAGTTAATGCTTCAGCTTTTGTGTCCAGTTACGTTGATCTGCAGTGCCCTGCATTAGAGGTGTGAACTTCCACTGCGTTTTGTGTTGGGGCAAGCTACAGTGCAAACAAAAATGGGCAATTTTTTTTTTTTAAATTTTTGTCTGTATTATTAACCTGAAAATAGTGCTCACATTCATTTCCTTGTAGAATTTCATATTAAATGCTTTGCAGGCACTTTTTCATCCCATACATCGTGTACTCACAGTTCTCCAGAACCCTGTTGCCTGTTCAATGGCATATCCTGGCACTTTTTCTGTTAAACGCTCTCAGGTGCTAATCTTTTTAGTTTTTGTTTTTCCTTAGCCGTTTCATTTGGGAGTGGTACCTTCCATTAGCACCACAGATTACTAGTTTTGCTTCCCTGTGGTTTTCTAAAATCACGGTCAGTTGACTTTGTGTTGGGTTTTTTTGTTTTAAATCTAAGCTATCTCCTTTCCTATGGCTTATCTTTAGTTCTGGTCCTCGGATCCACTGCAGGTCACTGACACGTATGTGACTTGACTGTCACAAGTGTCCTTAAACCCTTTAAGAACTAAAAATGCCTTTGGCGTGACAAAAACCCTCACCCTGCAGTACTGCGAGTAGAGAAGATGGGATGGTGATGCAGGAATATGTCAACACGAAGCAACTTTAACACAGTTCTGCAAGAATCTGTGCGTTGGTGTTGGCCAACCTTTTTAATTTGCCTGGAGTTATTTCTGTAGTGGAATTGAAGTCTTGCATGTCTTTGGAGACAAGTTATCTGTTACTGTGGTTCTTTTGCTTGGGGAAATTTCCTGAGGAAATCTTTCAAAAGAACATCTAATTTAATCACCCAAGCTGTCCCAGAGGCTGAGGCGCCAATTTCAGGGAAGAGGTAGATCAGAAAAGGGTTTTTTTGTTTTGTTTTATTAGCAGGCATAGCTACCTTTAAATAAGAACAAATCTGCTTGTGAATTGGAGTGTGAGTGCGAGGAGCACTTGTTTGTAAGACGCAGAGGTTTTTAATGCAGACTCCTGCAGGATAAACTCGGGCATGGCTTATACCTGTAGAGTTCATTGAATCTGTTAGTATGCTTGGAATTTGTGTTCCAATGCTTAATTATCCTGGCTGTGATGTGTAGTGCTTTGGTTTTAAAAAATTATTTTCAGATCTACATCTTTTGACTATGGCTGCTGTCAGTTAAGCTCTGACAGTGGCATTCTATAAATGTGTGGTCTTGAAGAATAACAAAAGGTAAAGGCTGATGTGAGCCAGTAATCTTTTTTGCTCGTTCCACAAAGATCCAGTGGCAAGGTCAGGGCAAAGGTTTGCTTCTAGGTGTATGCTCGGGCGTGCAGAAGTGTGCCTTGCTCTGAGAGCTGCTCCTTGGGGGAATTCTGTCTCTGCATCGGGGCTGGTGTGCAGCCCACACAGGGAAATCTGTATAGACAATTGCTTGAAGCTCCTATTACTGGCAGGTAATTACTTTTTTTTTTTTTCCTTTCTGAAATCTAGTTAAGATACTAAGGGTTGTTCCTTTGTGTAAACCAAATTTAAAACAATTTTGCGTCAAATTCATACCGCTAAGGCTGGTTTATATGGAAAGTTATATATTCTGAAACTTTCAGTGTTGCAATAAATAATTAAACAGACCACTTAGTCCAAATTATCTGTACTTTGAAGTTGATGATTTTAGTTGTGATAAACTGACATGAAATTTTATTTTGTTTGGGTTTTTTTTGTTTTTAAATCCCATTATAGGTTATATTCAGGATTTATACGCTGGCGATCGAGTCCTGCAGCATATCAGTCGAAATGCTGAGCAAATAAAAACAGCTGTTCGCGATGCTTCTAAACTATTAAAGGAATTACTTTCATGGTTTGTAATAAGTGAGGAGGATTATATGTCGTACTCCAAAACTAGTAGCATGTCGCACGAAGTGATGGAGCAGCTCATCAGTTACTTAACTCAGGAAAAAAACAGAGTGAAAACAAGGGGTTTTATCCATGTGCTGTGTGAGCTGGAAGAAGTGGATCCCAAATTACACAAATGGCTGAAACATCTTAACAACTTGGGTAGGCTCTATGTTTGTGTAACAGCAGCAGACCTTACCCTGTCATAATTGTTGAGCTTACAAATGGAAAGATAACCTCCCTATTTTCCAGTCTTGCTTTCTTGACTTTAAATGGTAAAGCTTTGCTGCTCTTAATTTACTTCTTCCTTAGCCAGGATTTCTACAGTAGAAAGTATGACCCTTGGTGACACAGGAACAACCTCTCTGGTCTCTGCCAAGTAAAGCATTCTAATGTGGACAAAGCTTTGGCTGTGCAGGAAAGAGAAAATCGAACAGATTTATATTTTTTAAATGTCTTTAAATTCCAGAATAGGCTTAAATAGTAGTATTGGTATAAATAACTTCTTTCTCAAAAGCAACTCATGGTGGGCTTTCTGTCATGGAAGTTTAGCCAACTCTGTAACTTGGAAGTAATTTACCTTGGTGCTCTTTGGTAGAGTTGCCATGCTGTATAGTTTCCTATTGAATTTATGACTGGATGAAGGCAGAAGTTTGGTTTTGCAGGAAAAATGGACATAAGATGCCAAAACCTTGAATGAGATTTGGATTCTTAATTCTCTTCTGTTGCATCCGTGTCCTTTATGGAATTTATATAGATTTATTATACAAATAATAATTCGGTGTTAAATAAGAGTAAAACTTATATAAACTCCATTTATAATTTTTGATAGCATTTTCAAGATACAAAAGGTTTTACATAATCTGTTTCAGCTATTGTATATTCAATTTCTAAAACAAACTTCCTCTTTGAAGAAAGTCACACTGTAAGCACTAAAACTCTGAAACTGGAATGAATGTTGGGTTTTTTCATCTTTTAGGTCTGACAGCTACAAAGAACTTTATCCTTCAATATGGACAATTTTTAAAAGAGCTTGACCTTTCTATTTTAACCACACTCTGGAATGAGAAGTATGGTAGTAAATTTGACTATGTGACAACTAGTTCTGAAGACAAAGAAATTCGTGATTATTTCTTAAAACCACCCCTAGAGAAAACCCGTTGCTTTGTATGGCTGCTAGAAGATAACAGAGAGAATTTTCCATTTCTTCATCAAGCTTTAGATGAATTCTTTGATAAAATGGGTAAGTGTGAGAAGGTCATCATTCTTACAAGCCTTGTATTTCGTCTGGTTTTACACTATGTGTGATGGGCTCTGTAAAAGGCTGAAACCTCGGCCAGCTGCTGACTGCCTCCTTATGTAGCATCTTTTGCGTTCAGTGCTTAAAAGGCAGTATGGCCTCAAAAGGCAACTGCCCTTTTTTAGGTTACACTCTGCTGGGGTTTTTTGTGTGCCACAACCAGCGCGTGCGTTTACCTTTATGCATATATGATATCCAACCAAGATGTGCTTAAACTGTAAGATAAACCGTTAAAGATTCTGCAGCTACGCTCTTGGAGATGCTTTGGTGGTATTTGACAAAGGATTATTATAGTTATTACTATAATTTCATAGCTCACAATTATGAGTTACATACAATAATGCTATTTCCATTTACGAATGTGCCTTTGTTATCTGTTCAATAGATGACCCTACCATTATATTAAAGAAGGAGGGAAATGAAAGTATATTGGTAAGTGAACTTAATGTCTATTTGGTATAAGCTCAGAAACGAGTATGTGTGTGTGTGGTGTTTTAAAAAACGTGCATCCCTTGCTTTACTTTACATCATCACCCTTCACGCCTCATTAGAGATCTGCCTTCTGTTTTATGTGACACCTCCCTGCCCCTTTTCTTAAAGCATTTGAAGACTGTGTACCATTTTTCCTAAACTTCCGTCAGTAAAATACTTGTTGGGTTTTGCCTTTAGTTAAAGCACAAACCGACACGATACCTCATAAATTATGAGCATGTCAAGGATGCAGATGAGGAAGTTGCAGTGAAAGCAGAGGAGGGAGCACTGATGGGCTGTATCACCTCCTTTGGAGAGGGAGAATAAGGCAAATAAGGTGCATGGGAGTAGCATTTACATATTACTTGATAACAGCAGCTTGGTGTTAACTTCAGAAAAAGTCTCTCTGAAAGTATCATTGGGGAATTTTATTTTTTTTTTTTTAAAAAGTGCCAATTTACAAACAGAGAGACTCTTCTGCTGCCGGATCTGCGTATTTACCGTGACAACTGAACTTGAGTGTGCTTAACTCTGTTCTTCATCATTTTGGACACTAGTTGGACTGTATATTTTAAAGTCCAAAGCAACAAATGGGACAGCAGTGTAACCCCGCTTTCCCTTCAGATGTCATTAAATTGTAAGGCAAGGAATTTGACGTTTGTTCCACCAATAACCAAAGTAAATTAGAAGTGAGTTAGACATACTTTTCATCTGTTCATTACAATTTATAGATGCTTTTGAGATTCAACCCGTAAGTCTTAAAGCATACATCATTATGAATCACTTTTTGATTAGTATCTTAATTAAAATCCATTCTAATTGGCAGAAGTATATTATGTATTCAGTTAATTATGTGTTTGAGGGACTCTCATTTACAATTATTCTAGCCTGCAGATAGATTTATCTGTACAAATTCAAGATTTGGTTTTGATACAGAATAAATCTTCGGAGTTAATTAATAAATACTCTTTGTCTTCTCATTTCATTAATTGGAAACCCAAAAATGAAATGAAAGGCCTTACAATAACACTACTTCTGTTTCAGTGTTACTTATATCCTAAGATAGTAACTTCGTGTTGGTGAGTTATGTTAATCTATAAATGAGAGTCCTGTGAAAAAGTGAAGATGCATTTTAGGTCCTTCGTCTTTGCATATCCTAGAAAACTGAAGTGACCAGAACCAGTTGATGGTTCTGTTTGCTTCTTGTTCCCCACGCAAAACTGTGGTGTGTGGGATGTCACAGCTCTTTTTAAATACGCAATTTCAGCTGTAAGTAATGAGTAAGCCTCTGAAATACTAAAATGATAGAATGTTCTGGTTTTAAAAATCAGTCTTCTGTGCATTCAAAGAGAAAAACGAGGAAAAGAAACAAAATGGCTAAAGTCTTGCAAAGCTCTGTTTCTTTTAGTTTTCTACCTGGGGGTGGATTGGAGGGGGAGAAGATGGCATACCTCACCTTGTAAATCTTGCTGGTCAAACCAGAATGAGAATTTTAATATGGAACTTTGAAATTTACATACTGGTTTTGGAAATGCATTGTAATTTTATTCTAATGGAAAAAAACAGTGATGTTATTTTTTTCTGTTTCAGACTAATGGTATCAAAGTTAAAAACAAAAACAGGAAGAAGAACTCAAAAGACTCAAAGGTCGGTAACTTTTTAGCTGCTTACTACAAACAGGTTTTCAGGGATTGCTGGCGTTCAGATGCATAGAGGCTGTTTTCATGAATACCTTGTGGAGACACATTCTTGAAGTAGTTTTTCCTGAAGCAGAATAATGCTGTTAAGACTCAATTAATACAGTTCTGTTTTGTTAAAAATACGAGTTTATCAATACAAAAGGTATTTCTAAACTTGAAAAAGAAAGTTATTTATGAATAACTTTGTCTCTGATACCAATACCGTCCGTCTGTCCAGTGTCTTAATTCTGGACAAGTGTTTTGATCTTAATTTGCCATAAGGGAAAGTGTGCCTATAGCGCCCTGGCTGCACTATGCCATCAATACTTTGCGCTCCATTTCAGTTTGCACTGACAAAGAACAAACTTGGAGAAGGACACTTTACCAGTCAATTTGAGAAAGAAAAATGTGTCCTTGCATCTCATGAAATAGATCAGAAATTATGTCTTTAACTGTCTTTTCTGATCATTTTTATGGGCATATCAGTGACTGAAGATGCAAGTGTTCCATTTATTGCTCAGAAAAATGTTACTTATTCAGTATTTTATAGATTTTGCTAGGAATAGTGTTCTACCTGAAACTTATACTGTCTTTTGTCCTGCTTTTCTAGGATTTTGCTTTATTGAAAGCTTCACATACAATCTTATTTGTTTCCTCCATGCCTCCACCTTTTTATAATTTTAGTAGAATTTCAGGAGTACTCTTAAGGTTTTTCCTATTCTCATCAGCCAGGTTTTTACAAGGATTTATACAAGTCTGTGTGTTTCTAAATAAATGTTTTTTGATTTTTGTTATCTAACTAAAACACTTGTAATGGTGAGCATAAGAATAACATGTGTCATATTAAAACCATGTGGAACTAGAGATAACTCAGACTTACTTGTAGTAGAATTACTAAAGCTTGAAGTAGAATTACTAAAGCTTGAAGGCTCTTGAATGTAAAGGCAGAGATTCCTAGGAAGTTAGCTGATGTGCAGCCCAGTGGAAAGAAATTGTACAAAAGCCTTAACAAAGCGAAGCTCTAGTGTTTGTTTTTTTAGTCCAAACTCAAAGAAAAATCAGTCACATCTAGGATTTTGATGGAACTGGTAAAAAAAGAGGGAGTTTGGGCTGAATATCCCAATTTATTTTCCAAAATAAGTTCTGAAGAAGAAATTAGTAATTTTAAATTAAGAACTTACTTGCTATGGCTTAGTACTGATGATTGTACTTAAAAGTTTTGCAGTTTGTAGTATGGCCTCTGAATCTGATAAAGTTACAGAACAAGGTTCAGTGTAAGTTACTCATAGTCTTTACAGTGGATCATTGTGCATATATTTCTGTGAGATAAAAAAAAAATAATAATAATCTGTTTTTAATTAGTCTATTTTAGTATTATCCAGTGGAGTTAGTACAGCACCACGAGAAGAAGATAAGATATTTATAGAAGAAAATACTTTGTAAGTACTGTCGTGTATCTTTGCTTTTATTGCCCAAACTCCGAAGTGCTTTGCAGGTACTGGAGAGGACAATGTCTTAGAAACACCAAGGCTGAGTTAACATCCCAGTGTTTTTGATAGGAGGTTGTGTAGAGCCATTACTTCTCTGCTTCCAGGACGGGTGTTAAGGGGCATTACAATTTTAAAGATCTTAACAACGTAGGAAGTAACCAAATGGTTGCCCGGCTGCAGCCCAATTCATCGTCATCTATGCCAAAAGTTGTTCTTCCAAGTAGGATTTTACTTGCAAGTAAGATCTTACTTGCTCTGTGCTCCATTTTAACGTGGCAAGAAATTAGATGATAAACTTGTACGTGCTCCATCAGTCACGACTGGTGTTTGCCAGCCCTGCTGTACCAAGCAGGTTGGGATGTTGAGGCAACCTGTAGTGCATTGCGCAGAGTCTGTGTGTTCACCAGGAGTCAAACTCTTTGTGTTCTGAGCCTGGTTTTGCTCTTGCTTATAGATGTGAGTGACAGCTGCCAGCCAGAGCTAGGCCTTATTAGTATTAGCTAGTGGCAGGTCAGTTAAGTTTAGCAGTTAAGTATTTTGGGGACAGTGTTTATTCTGCTTGTTAGGAAAAAGTTTGCTATTGGGGTGTATTTTTGGCGCTGTGTAGTTACCATATGGTATGCTGTTCTCAGTGTATGTGAAAAGTACAGGTATTTTCAGGGCAAGAATTATTGTTCACATGCACTATTCATTTCTTTCTTCTTCCTCTCTTTTTTTTTTTTTGTTTGTTTTGTTTTGTTTTTTGTTTGTTTGTTTGTTTTTGGGTTGTTTTGGGGTTTTTTTGATTATGCTGCAGAGATTTTACAAATTCTTATGAACCATTTGTAATCCCAGAATATCTTCGGGGGCAACTGGAGGAATTTGAAGCTCTCTGTGACGTTTCAAATAGTAACAGTTATCACAGACGTATGGAAAATAACCCAGATCAAACCTGTGAGAGCTTGTATGAGTATGTATACGTTTCTGTGCTTAGCAGTTTAAAGGGTTTCATATTACGTCATAGGTTTATAACGTATTGAGTCCAGATTTTGAGGCCTTGGTGATCTGGTATACGTAGGTATGTAGATAAAGGTATGCACTAATGCTTTGAAATAGTTGCATGTTTTTAGTAAGATGTGGACAGGCAAGAGTATTACAGAAAGTCGTTATGCTTAGCTAGAACACCAGCTTCCAAATGATTGTTCTTCAGCAGTTCTAGAGGTTCTTTGCTTTCAAGTATTATTGTGAAAATATAATGTGTGAAATAAGATTTTTAGATTTACATGAAAGAACTTTGATAACGACAGTGGTTTATTTTTTCTTTTAAGATATTTCTCTCAAATCTTGGAAGAACATGGCCCTATGGAAATTAATAATAAATTACTAGTTGGGGAGTATCAACATTTCCCTGAAGAAGCTCGAAAGATTGTAGAAGATGAAGGTGGTCTGCAGTCCTTTCTTCTGAAATCCCTTCGTTTCATTATGGTGGATAATCTTATTGGCTTAAGAAAGCATGCAATTCTTATTGAAGAAAATACGAACAGAAATGAGACTGGAGATAACGAAGAAGAAAATTATAGAGTCTGTGGTGTGCAAGAAAATTCTTCCCTGAACAAGCTACAGTTAAATCCAGCTGCTAAGGAATTCAAACCCCTGTCCTATCCTAAGCAACCCTATATATCAACATCTACTGACTTAACAGTAGCAAGTTATGAGACTCCACGATATTTGCCCTGGTCTTTTCCTACTTCATGTAAATCGGTGCATTCTTTGCATAGTCAGAATATTGATTCTATAGAAAATAAGTCGTCGTATTCAGACATTTTGCTGAAGTGCTTTGATTCTAAAACCCCTGGTATATTTTTGCCTCGGACTTCCTGGGGTTATCAATATGAAAGGATATTGACAGTGCCTTCTCACATGCCTCTTATGTCAAGTGTTGCCAAGCAGCCTTGTTATATTCATGCTGATTGTGTAGCTCACCAGGATAATGACGAATCAGACAGAAAATACGTCTCCAGCAGTCTTATACCAACTGAAATACAAACATATGAAGACCCTCCATGCCAGCTGGAGAACTCTGATAACACATTGTATGAAGACAATTTTGCTGTGGCAAGTAGTACAAAAGAAGCTGAATGTGGTGTGCAGGTTATTAAGATGGAAAAAGAAAGCAAAGTTGTACCTCTAAGGAAGAACAATCCTCATACAAGGATGATAGCTGTTCAGGTAAGAACTTAAAAAGCTTGCAAGTAACTGTTGTGTTTCAGTGATAAATGACAGTGTTGAGCACTGGAAAGTGCAACTCCTTTTTGAATGATTTCTTTATGACTTCCCAAGGGGTCAAATGTTGTGTAGAGTTTCAAGAGCAAGTATTGAAGTAATACTTCCAGCTACCCAAATGTAAGGAATCTTAAAAGTAGTATTTAGCATTCTCTAGGATTTATCACCTGAAAAAAAGGCCACGAGTTGGAAGATACCGAGGTGTTTATCAGGCTGGGAACTTCCTTAGAAAATGTCAGCAACAAACTGCAAGTTCTACAACTACTCTTTGTTTTTCAATTGTAATTCTTTAAAGAGGTCATCACTGAATTTCATTCTCCCTGAAATTTTCACGGATCTTTTGACCCAGGATCAAAGGAAGGGAACTGGTGTTCATCAGTTTAAACTTCTCTTTAGAAGTTAAAGAAAGTCCTTCTGTGTCTTTCTTTTTTTGTAATTAGTTCTGTGATTTGTTTTAACTTTTGCAATATTTGAGGATTTAGATAGTTCGTACATTCTAACAATTGCTGGCTGATGCTTCCCTTGTGGTCTTACAGTGGCAGCCCGGCTGCAGGGTGAGTTCAGGGGGCAAACTCCTTCACATTTCCTTTTCTCCCCTGAAGTAAAAAATCCTGAAAGTTTTGTCCTACAGGCAGAGAAAGCGTTGCTGAACAGCCGGAAAGGGGCAGGGCACACAGCTGAGCAGAAGAGGGGCTGGACCATTCACTCTTTAATGGTACCCCAGAGGCAGATCAGCGTACGCCACTCGTGAAAACACTCTTCAAGTAGCAGGGGGAGACAACGGTCACCTCCACGTTTGTTACAGAAACCATTTTGGACTAAGATGCTGAGTTTTCAGAGTTGTGGATATGGCAGTTTCACACATCCTTTTTATGTGTGAGAGATTATCGAATGTGCTAGAGGGGGTGCTGGGGAGGAGTTCCTTATCTTCATTCCTCATCTTCATATTCAGAGGAATAGCTGTTTATAGGTGTAAGATAAATAGCTGTCTTTTTATTACTGCTTTCTAAATTAGGAAAATGTTAGCATGTTGGTTTTTTCGAACTTGTGTTGTGTACAAAACTTTTCTGCATTTTAAGCCTTTCCTGAGCAGTTGCTGAAAGACAGTTTCCCATTTGTCTTGGCAGATTAATTTTGTCACTTGGCTGACTGGGCTTTTAAAGCGGGATTTCTCTTTGGTTCATGAGCACATGCAACAAAGAGATAAAAGAAGAGGCAACAGTTTTCAGTTTAGTGAATTCTGGTTAGCAGAGATCAAAAGGGCACTAAGCAACAGATATGTTCGGGTTTGCAAATCGTGTTAGAGCGAGGCATTTAACATTGTCTGGCTTTGATTTTTTTTTTTTTTTTTTCTTTAATAGCCTATTAGAACACTAACATCATAAACTAGATCTTTAATATGTCACCTGATGAGATCTTAAATTTCAGTTCTTTCAGTAAGTCCTTGATGGGTGGTATTAGAGGAAAACAAGCAGGGGCTCTGAAGGTCCTGGAGTCTAGTCTCTGCTGAGTAGAGGCACTTATGTAGTAGGTCTTGAGTTTAGGAGGAGCCACAAAACACAGCTCAGTGGGCTGCCAGACACAGTGTTTTCAGGTCTTAAGTTCTCAGACATTTAGAGCACAGCTGTGTTTAAAGACTCGGAGAACTGTTCTCAATATAAATGCTTCGTGGTCATTAAACTAGGG